TTCAGCGCCTTCCACATCGTTGGGGCAGCGTGTGATGACAGTAGCAGGGAGTCCATTGAAGGTCTTTAGGTCCAGGTTCGTCATGTCAACTTTACGTGTATTGTGTTATCATTCTTTTGCCCGGTGAAGGCTATATTGCCCTGTATAATACCATAATAACTTCGTGTATTACGATATTTCAGTGCTATTCATTGTCCACACATGTAGTTAAGACCTTGTCCTTTCGTCTGTATATGTCACATTTTTCAACCAGACTGGTATCTTCAAGGAAAAAAAATAGTTACCATGACTTTTGCCCCAACCTACGTATAAATTTAATATATATCCTAAGTCGCGCTTTCGAGACATGAAAAACGCAACTTAGTTTCGTCAATCGGCCCAGTAGAACAGGAGTTATAGAACTGCCGTCCCTTTTTTTTTCGCAATGTACATCACCGATAAAGAGGAAAACAGGAAGGGAAATGTAAATTTTGAAATTTTGAAATTGTTCTTGACATTTAAAACACATAATAGCAATATCAACAGCAATATAGCAAAATATTTAAAAACAGCATACCTTTAGAATTTCCAATCATGCGCACTGTGAGAGAATGTGCATGCCCTTTTGAGATTTTGTATTTCAAGGTAGATTTTTAGTTTTCGAAGATCCCTGCGAATACGCTTTACACATTTAGTGTAATTAAAACTGGATTCTTTTACGAGAGGATGATTGGAAGGAACTTTAAAGCGAGAGGAAATACGATAGAATTTTTAAAAGCTGGGGCACTTATTGTAAAGTTAGTCATTCAGCACTGAAATGTAATAAGCTTTTAAATTTTAAGGATCAAGGTCATGCTAATTTTGTCAAGAAAACAAATTATTTTTTAATTGTTTAATTTCAAATACAGAACATTGGCGTGTAGAAGTATCCATAGATATAAAAAGAGCTTTGGAATGTAGAAATATCCATAAATGTAAAAGGTGCTTTGAAAATCATCATAAGTTACTGCATTAAGATTGAATTCAGAATGAGCCATAAACGTGATAAAGAGTTACGAACAGTTTGAAGGAGTTGTCTGTGACATCTAAATCAATTTTCTATGCAAAGAGTTTGGGGCAAATAATGGTAAATTAGTTAAGTGAGAGGAAACTTGCATGAGTTCTATTTCAGTCATTAAATCTTGTGTATCAGACTTAATCTTCAGCTTGAAGTTTCTTATGTACTGCTGTTGTTTAAGTGCTAGATTCATCTGGACAATGCGAAGTTACTTGATCGTGGCAGTCAAGCTAACTTTGTTACTGAAGAATGTATAGAGAGATTAGGTTTATCTAAAAGAGATAAGAACGTTTTTATGTCATGTCTGCACATTTTCTTTCAGCATTTTTTAGCAACAGTGTCGTTTACAACAGTAATGTTTATAATCAAAATTATTGAAAAATTACAACGTAAGAAGTACATTGCGGAATAAAATAATTTAATGTTAGTGGATCTAACATTTTACAAGAGTGAGCGTATTGATAGGTTTATGTGTAGAATATCTTGGAATCCCTATGAATCAGTCAATGACTTTTCCCGGCTCTCGTAACTTTATTTATATGATGTTGCATGGGATACTGGAAGTTTTCATCCATGAAAAGCGCGTTTTTATGAAGCTTCAAGAAAATCGCCAAGTTGGCGACAGCAATTGTCATCAGGAGCGTTTTTGCCTGTATCTTGCGCTCTAGTTGAGCTGTTTTTAAAATTTAAACTCTGTTGAATTAAGAATTCAAGCATTTAAAATTCTTTATAAGAAATAAATATTATGTACAAACATGTGGCCAAAAATTCACTTATGTATAAAATAAACGCTAGAACTATTAAACAAAATACCAAAATTAAGCAAAAGGATAAAAAAGAAGTAATCCAAAATATATAGATACAAAATACACAAAAATGCAAGCAAAATGATTTCAATATTTACAAAAACTTTCAATAATTTTGAATAACTTACAAAACTTTCATGAGGTGTGTTTGGTGTATTGAGAATACGGCAAAGCACACTAGGGCTATCTGCCTAAGGGGGAGGGATGCCTTCGTGGAGGACTTTCTAAGGGAAACTGGCTCGTATACGCGTTACACATGGGGAAAACCACGAAAACCCCCATGCAGCCAGCCCGTTCGCGGGATTCGAACATCGGACCGAACTGATAGTGTTCAGCGATTTTACCGCTTGGCCGCTGGTGGGCCCAAAACTTTCAAGAGACCACAAAATAAAATGAAACTGTTAAAATTATGTCACAACAAAAAGACAATTAAGTTGATTTTTAGTTAACCTTCCTAATATTACGCAACAATATTTTGCTGGGTTCTGAATTCACAAAATTAGCGAACGTAGCAATGACCTGGCATGATATTAAACTGAAAAACTTGCAAATACTTACAGAAATTTAATTTGCATTTTCAGAAGTATCTGCAAATTTAAAAAAAAAGTACATTCTGAAAATGCATTTGTTAGAATATTTTCACGCTATAGTTCAATATCTAATTTCCAGTATTTTTCCACTCTCTATTTAACAGTTTCTTTTCCAGAAACTATCTTGTCATAATAGAAGAACTAAAGAAATCTTACATTTATTTATTAAATTGAAAAATGTGCAAATGCTAACAGAAAATATATTTTGCATTTTTTAGAAGCATCTACAAATTAAGAAATATATATTCTGAAAATGAATCTGTTGTAATATTTCCACTTTATAATTTAATACAGGGTGACTGCTAAATCATGGTACAAACTTTGAGGGCTGCTACAGGACACTGCAACAATCACATTTTTGTATAGGAATTTATGGTCAAAAGCGAAGCTTCGAAGCACAAACACAGGAAAGAACAAATGATAAGGAAAGTGTTTTATTTTCATAATCTCGTTTACAAGTGGAAGTTAATTTACAAAATGTGATTAATTTACAAAATATTAATTAAATTAGTTACAATGAATTTACAAAATGTTATTTTTACAGTGTCCTGAACCAGTCCTTAAAGTTTGTACCATGAAGTAGCAGTCACCCTGTATATTGTTTCCAGTATGTTTTAAATTTCTACTCACAGTATACGTTTTTAGTATACTATAAAGATAAATAGCGCTTTGATCAGTTAAAGAAATGGCTACATCATAATAAAAATACTACAAGAAATATTACATTTATGTATTAGCAAACGAGTTTAACTAGCAGAGTTATCACATTCGTCTGTATTGTGCTCAATCAGGGAAAAAATGAATTATCAGAATTAATATTTAATTGAAATAACTTTACTCTCAGATATGAAATGTGAAATATTATATATCTCATGCAAAATAATATGTGAAAGTATAAAAGAATTAATATACTAAAAACAGGTGTGATTAACTTTTTTTTGTCTAATGTTTAGAAATAATACTACGAAAATACAATAAATTTTTGATAAAAAATAAAAGGATGTAACTTTTTCTGAACAGTTTTCACATCAGTGAGACGTTTTAAAAGCTATAAGTGTGCAATAATTTTATAATTTTAAAAATAAGAGTTATTAACTGAAAAGAATATAAAGCAGTATTGATCAATTAAAAAAATATGGCAATGTTATTTAATTTACGTATCATGAACAGAAAAGTTTCAATAAATTTTATTGCGCTGAAGTAAAGGATTCTGATCTGTGAGTTCAAAACTGGTAAGAACCTTTATAAGTTATAAATAATTTCTGTAGAATCAAAAATGAAGTTATAACGCATTCATTGCCTGATATTTCTGCTTGCTTACGGGTTCGTAACAGATTGAATACATACAGGCCCGATTATAGAATAACAAAATTTATTTTTATCAAAAGAAATTACTCAGAGCTCTGTTAAACACAATGCAATGCAAAGCGTATCTAAAAAGAAAGCTAATTGGATATATCGGAGTTCACGCGGAACTAACTCGCAACAACAATAACCAAGCGACTGAGAGCAGATGCTCACCTTTCTGCTTTAAATAGTTTTCAACCGGCCGCCGAGACATTTCTAGTATTTTCTGCTTCTCGAAATTACTGGAAAGCAATATGTGTGTAGAATTACGGTTACAGCTAACTTAGTAATCAATTGCATTTATTAAATTTCAATATATATTACGGTGATACAAGGAACGGACCTAAATGTCCCCAAATTTTTGTCAAATTTGGCGACAGAATAAATCACCAAAACAGTTGTCAGCTTTGCGATATCTCGCCAAATTACTGAGATACCCATTTACTCAATGTTACATGCACTTGTCCCGGTATTCCTACTTTCCTGGCATAGCTTCTCTTTAGAGTTTTCATGTTAGAAAAAAAATTCAAGAAGTTTACTTATAATTCTACTAAAATTACCTATCTTAAGTACAAAATTCGTAGCAATATTACAAAGAAATAAGCCCTTCATACTTTGAGTTTAATGTTTTGGCAGCGTATAAATTATTTGTTTAAATTTTCAGCAGAGTAAACATAATGAATTTGCAGATAGCTCTGTAACCATATTAAATGCAGAAAAGAAGCTACAAATGTATGCAAATCATTTGGGTATTATATTAATAAGCTTAAACTATGCTCAAAACCTTTAAGAAACAATATAAAATCTTATACGATTTTTATAAGAAAACTTTACATTGAACTTTCCATTCTATTCATTTCAGTTTGACGTTAGAATTTTAGAGATGTGAACCCACGCTGAAAAGTACTAAGAAATTACAGATTTCAGCATTTATCATTACAAAATGGAAAAAGGAAATTCATTCTTTGAACATACACATGCCAATCACTTAAAGAAATTTATTTGCTTTAAATTTATACAATATTCTATCTACTCTCTTCGCATAGCAGTTTCTATAGATACTGACATTTCACATTGACAGACATTTCGCATTGAGTATTTAGGATTTTCTTCAGTTTGAATTAACTTTGAAACTTATTTTCGCAAAATAAAACTGAATATCCATCTGCTTTAAGAAGAGCATGTCAAAGGCCTGATGTTTCCAGATGTGATAAACAGATGGTAAGTCTTGTCCATGTTATAAAATCTTGCCCCTGCGCATTTAGGGGTACATATCATACGGATTTCAAAACGATGAAGTTTACTGTGGGAATCTTGTTGGTAGTGGTTATTGTTGTTAGCGGAAATGTGGTACAGGATCCTTTAATAGGTATAATGAATTTTCCCTTTGAGTATTTTTCTCCTTTTTTCTAATGTCTCTTTTTTTCATTTATTTGTTTTAATCTTTTGTCCTTTACAAGATACTTTGTATTGCATCTATGAGCATTTAATTTCTAAATTATCCCTTCTAAGTAATTATACTTAAGGTTGTTCAAATGTGGTTTAGTTTATTAAAATAAGTTCTGAAAAAAAAAATTGTAAAAATATGTAATTATTGCTTCAGATATAATTTTAAAAATCTTGAAATTGATCTCATAAATTAATTTAAACCAGTGCCTTAATTTTATTTTAAACATTTCTAAATAATTTCAAACTATTTAGACGTATCTGCTTTTATTATTATTAAATATTATCAGTTGAAAAAGCCCAAAGTTAAAATAAATATGTATTGAAATTATAGCATGATATTAAATTTCTAAACGAAACAGAAGGCACTTATTAATAAACTGCAAAAATCAAAGTTTCAAATAAAATACATAAATAACATAGTGCACAAATTAATTTATGCATTTGATATTTTTCATATTTTTTCTTTCCATTGTAGCTATAGTTTGATTTAAAATATTTTTTAAACTTCAATTTAAATTAAATCAGAATACATAATCTTTCACGAAATTTCAACTAAAATGTGAGAAATCTTATTAATAAATATATCATCAATTTCTAATTTTCTCTTTTTCTTCTCTAATATTATTAATTTATATCTTAATCTTTAAATTTCTTCATAAGTTAATAAATATTTTCTATTTCGTTTTTATTTTTGCTGTCAAAACACTCCTGCTTGAATACAATTCTAATCTAATCAGTTTTGTATTTCGTACAGCTTCACTTTTATTTACCTCTGAAAACATCATTTTACATTTTCAGAATTCCTGCACTGTAGTGAACGGAATTACATAAATTATTTCCTTGAGACAAAATTACCATGATCTTCAGGTTTTGCCGGAAATTTTTGCTTAAGTGAATTAATATTTTATTTCTATATTTTTAATATGAGAATAAACCTAGAGGCGTCTTATGACAAAAATTTCTTTAAATATTTGTTTAGCTACATCTATATCTGTCACCTTTCTATATGAACGGATACCCACGAAGTCTATCGAATAAAAGAAAATAAATTGAATAAAAAGAACAAATAATTATTGATGACACAGCAAAGCGCAAATAAAATGAATCACTATAGTACTTTCGAAATTTTTGAATAACTGTAAACGTTTAACAGTAATTTTTCACATAAAAAATAGAATATTGAAAAGCTTCCCAAACTTACAGAAATTAATTGTTGTAATAAATGTATAAAAGAAATTAGCGCATTTCCCTATGCATTCTCTCGTGGTGTAAATGGTTAAGGAAGTGTAGCTGACAAAGTTTAGAGTTTTAAACCCTGGTAAGTTTGCAGTTGATGTTTCATGTCTCCTGCTCCGGGAGAGAAAAACCTAAAAAAGGTCTCTTTTTAGTGAGTTTTGAAATAAACTGTGATACGTGTTTACGATTTAGCAGACGTATTTGGTCGACTGCGTGTTTTTCTTCTTACTTGTCTTCTTTTAAATGAGGGATGATATAAGACATTATCGCTCTTCTTCATCAGAGCTCCCATTAATTCGACTTGAGGTGCAGGCACAACTAATTTCTTATGTTTCACGCGTGCGACAACCTAATAGTTTCTACTTGTTTCATTTCTTTAATTTAATTTTGTTATTTGGTTCACGTGAATTCCTATCAATAAAATTCTAGAAAATGAAAAAAGATGTACTTTGCTCAGTTAATTTCAGAACACAAGAAGCGACGGAAAGAAGTGAAGTATGCATGGATGAACTTGGCTGTTTTGACAGAGGGTATCCATTCGATTCTCCTCGCCTCCAAAGGTTCATTAGTACTGAGCCAGAATCGAGGGAAAAAATTGGCACTGAATTCAGATTTTACAGCCCAACCAATGATATGACTCCACAGTATGTAACAAATCTGAACTTTTCTTCTTGGACTATAAACGACAGCGGTTTTAACAATACTGCGAACACATTCTTCATCATACACGATTTTCGAGACGGAAATGCAATGTGGTCAGAGGCAAGTATGGCTTCAAATAGCATCGAAATAATAGATCTTATATTGTATGTTCTTTTAGTGATATTACTTTACATGCAACCATTACTCTGGAAAAATCTATAAGTATAAACACGAATGCAGAAAGTTAATTTGAATCTAAGAAACAAGGAATATTCTACTTAGATTTAAGCCTAATTTTACTAAACAGCTGTTTTAATTTCTAGATAATTTTTAAGGGTACATATTATTTCGGCAAACGCATTAGCAAACTTTTGCTTAATTCTAAATCAACGGCAACTATTGTCTTAGAAATATAGCAGATAGTTAAGTATGGAGAAGTTTCCTTCCTGGAAAATTCCCATTGATAATTTAGTTTTTGTCATAATGTATTAATATGTATTCCAAATTTACTTTTTTTATAAAGGATAATTTTTCAAAACGGTCGAAATATATGACTATCCAAGTAGACGAACATTTCTGAGCGAAGTAACGTATTTTCATTATAACACTTAGAGCTTTGTGGCAAGGGAATGCGAAAATAAAAGCTAATTTTCTCATTCTGAAAAACTGATTAATCAAATAAAAATAAAAATCCTTTTGCTGCTCAGATAGAAAAATCTTTTTATATCGTAAAAATGTTCCGTGTTCATGTTGAATGAATTTAACAAAGATAAGAATTTAATCCAAGTTTACATTTGCGATATTCCTACAACAACTCCTACTAAAAGCATACCATTCTTCAAAGACACCTTTTTTATTATCTATTTTTACCTTTGCATCACATTTAGTATTTGGCAATTTCTAGACATTGATTACTGCCGATTTCAAATGCAGAAATTGTCTGCATTTCGAAAACTATCAATGATCACAGTAAAGGAGAATTTAGTATTTTTCTTATTATTATATTTCCTAAATACGTATGTTTAATCCAGAAAAAAGGGCGAGAGATAATATTTAGAATTATTATTCAGATTGAAATCTTGTTCGAAAAAAGTTAGTTGTTCGCAGTAGTTTTACTTGATAATTATCCCGGCAAACAAAACTGATTTTTGTGTCTCATGAAATAATTATTCGTATATACTCACAGTATATAAATTATCAGTTCATCTAATTCAGAACCCTTATTTTTAATCCGGCTCTGAACAGATGATGAGACTAAAATAAATTATTCGCTGTATTTCATTATGTAAATATAATGGAGAACAAAACTGATCGTACTGAGTGAAACAAAAGTAACGACAAAATAAGATCCAGTAATTCAAAAAGTATACATAATAGCATGATACGGTAGTCATAGATATGCACAGTAAATTAGATACGTATTTGGAAAGGAAATCTATTCTAACAAAAATCCATTTACGCAGGTGTTTCAGATGTTTGAGAGAAACAGATTTTTGCCTCTACCGATGCGAAAGAGGTAATGCGAGATTCATAATGAAAGATTGGGAGCTCATTTATCTGTCGTCACGTGTAGACGATTCAGGCCGAGGACATCCCATTAACGCGTACATGCGCAACTATACTCGAACGGCACACGTTGTCAAAAGAGGTAAAATGATGTTCAAAAGCGTTAAAAACACTTTTGAACTTTAGGTAAAAATTTACTTGAGGCTGTTATGACCTAAGATGTTAGAGAACTTTACTTGTTTCTCATATTCATTGATGGCATGCAAGGAATAAAAAGAATACTTAATATCTTTACAGGTAGATTTTGATAAAAGGTTCGGATAAAATACTATAATTTATATAAAATACTGCAGAATAATGATTTTGAACTCACAAATTTAATACTTTTAATGTTAACTTCGCATTCCTTCATTAGCAATATTTTTTGTGCTAAATAATATTTTTTTGCCATTTACAATAATAATAATGCTCGATTTTATTATTCAGGTATTAAGAACTATTATATTGGATAAGGAGAAAAGTAATGTTTTCGTTGTTGACTGGTCAAATGGTGCTGGATCTCGGATACTTCTAAATGAAAAAAAAATTGAATTTTTTCCCTTGTATATGTTTGTAATTACTTTACATTGAAATTAATATTAATATATTATATTATGCTTTTAGTGTTAGTTGCTTTCCTCTACGGAATCACTGAGCGTTACAGTTTTGAGTGTCAAACAAATGAATTTGTTTAACACAATTTATGACTTTCTTCTAGCTAAATGTGTTTTATTTGGTGAAGTATTTACATGTAAAAACTATAATTCCAGTATTTATTTTGCATTAAAAGCGTTCAGTTTATACAATTTGATGACATATTTATAAACTGAATGTAGGAATACTAAGAACTATTTTTTTCTGACGAATTAAAACTTGAAAGAAATATCATGTTGAGTTTTATCAGAAAAAAAAATTAATAAACAATAGTGTATTTACTCCCGTATTAAATCCTTGTTTTACTAATTTTATCGTACGAAAATCGAGAGGGGAAAATTATGTGAAAAATATAATTTCGTAAGACACGATTACAGTAGGAGTAAAATGAATGAAAAGTACTCATGAATAAATTGTGATAACCAGCACAATACTATTTATTTAAAAGAAGCCAATATTCCAGAAAGTTAACAAAATTAATATTTACATTACACTGTAAAGTCATTAGGATTGCTTTAGTGCAGGAAATATAAAAATGGCCTTCGTCGGGACTCGAGCTCCGGATCTTCAGACTGCTCTTTCGACTACTTTCGAATTGCACCATAAAGCACGAGGTAAGAAGAGAGAAAATACAGTAAACATTATTCTAAAAAGCTGTCTTCTTTTCCACTTCTCTTAGGGAAGAGGGGATTTTGTCTCGCCCTATTTTTGGCAATGGAAGCTAGGGAGGAAAATACGCGAGTAAATGTGACGTTATTTCAATTTCATGAAAAATAGAGGCGCTTTTTTAATTCATGGAATATAACTGCAGGATTAACTGTCACAGATGAGACTTGTGATTAAGTTTAAAATTTATTTTTAGTTTCTTAATTTTTGAATTGAAAATCGAAACTCAGTAATACATTATGTAGAGCACATGATAAGCAAATTTTGCTCAACAGAAGTACAGATTGTGAAATTTCGAAAAAAAGGTTTTTCTTAAAAAAAGGTTTGAAATGACATTATAAAAGTAATAAAGCAAAGTAATTAAGTTTCTAAGGTTGAAGCATACGAGCATTTTCTACCCATCTATAGAATAAAATCTGAATGAAATTGTAGAGTTTCACACTTTGTAAATGCTAAGTTACAAGTTACAGTTGAATGTGAAGAATATTAAGAATTGATAAACGAACAATCGCTTAAATTCGTGTGACAGGAAACAACAAGATGGAAGGGTAAATAACCATTTATTATTCAAATAAGATTTAACAGAACTCCATCTTGGAGTGTACAGTAAAAGAAGACACTTGGGCTTCAACTTAAGAGGCTAAGAATTAAACTAAAACTAATCTAAACTAAAGAGCTACAGCCGAAGCTATCAAGATTCTAATCGAGTTGGCCCCTTAACGCTAATTGTCTGCGAAGCTATCAAGGGCCAAATGTACGGCCGAGCGTAATAATAGCTTACGTGAGAGTAGCCTAAAAATACGGACGCGTGCAGACAGAATACTGGTAACTCTCTTTTTAAGTCCGAAGAACTTCGCGGTTAAGTACTGCTCTTCCTTATAATGTATTCAGATGTGATTCTAAAACTACATTCTGGCCGGAAGTAGTAAGTTGAAGGTAAGAATCGACAGGAAAGGAACTTAAAATTTAACTCTTAATAAAATTAGCATAACATAATCCTTACAAATTAACTAATTAACCTTATTCATATGGATAAAAATGGCAAGGGGAAGAAGTCTTACTGAACATAATTAACAAGTTATATTTATTTCATCTATAACAATTTACATTTTTTTATTCTTCATAAATTACATTCGCAATTAGCACATCTCATGAAAATTCATAATGAAAGATTCGGAATCCATAAAAGATTAGATAGCCAAGTATACCAAGAGATTAATCTTCAAATTCCTTTTGACTGGGTTCTAATATCGTTTTAATAATTAATAACGTTCGAATTAATTTATTACTATACAGACAGTGAATATTTACATGCAGTATTTTCTTCAGATTGGAAAAATATTAGGTTTTCTAGAGGTTTGAAAACATAGTGTAAGAATTTAATATGTTAATAATATTTTCTTTGCTATTTACAATAATAATAATACACTCAATTTTATTCTTCAGGTATTAAGAACTGTTATATTGGATAAGCAGAAAAGTAATGTTTTCGTTGTTGACTGGTCAAACGGTGCTGGACCTCGGTACGAACAGGCTGTTGCTAACATAAGAGTGGTGGGAGCTGAAATCGGGCTTTTCATCCAAAATCTGAAGGTACAATTTTATTATGAAGCAATAAATTTTTTTTCAAAATTTTAGGTGTTGTATACGAAGAAGAATTGAAAGAAGGTGTTTAAATCATTATTTAATAACTAATTGAATTAAAATAGAATTATGTCTATTTATTTAAAGTAAAATTGTTAAAATTTCACGTGATCGAATAACCAGTTTTAAAGAACAAAACCAAAATTCGCTTTCTTTAAAAGAAACGAAAAAAAATCTTACTTTACTTAATGTACTTACTTAATATATTTACTTTTATCCAATCTTTAGGTTTGAACGGAGTTTATTAAATGATTTAAACCTTAAAAAAATCCTTTTTGCTTCTTTCTTTCGAGTGATGTGGCTACTGAAAAGAGGAGGCGCAAAAATTTAAACTAATTTTTCAATTCTTCGCGCTTGTGAACTTCTTCAAAACTTGCAATTCAATAAAGGCTTACATAATATCTTACGCTTCTTTATGTAGTACCATAAACATTAATTAAATTTTCTAGAAATTTCCGAATTTTTAATAACAAAAACTTAAAATTTTTTAATAATTAAAATTATTTATAAATAATTATGACTCTTACATTTATTTATTTACTGTTAAAATTCTTTTGATTTGCAATTTATAATGCTTAAAGTTTTAGTAGTAGTAGAGATAACCCTCGTGTGCTTTAGGTAATCAGATAAATCAAAGCTTTTCGGAGAAAGTCAGAACACCCACTATTTGGCGTGTTTTTAAGAATTGCACATACTCGATATGCATGTACACATCGCCTATTTTCACATTAAAAAAAATCCCAGAATTGCACAAAAATGGCACTGCACACTCCCTTGACTTTTTCTATGTACACATCGACCTATTTTCACATGAAAAGTAAACGACAAAAATCCAATTCTTCTTACACTTGTAAAAGGCGCCAAACGAATAAGTGGGTGATTCTGCACTTTAGCCAGCTTTTCTATTTTACTCGTACACCCGAAGCGAGAAACGCTTATCGTCAGACCTAACAGCGTGTAGAGTCATTAGGTTATTTTGGAAACCAGAGAGATGAAAAATGAGCAAGCGCCTTCGCCGGGAATCTAACGACGGACATCTAAATTACACGCTGAGCGTGCAGACCACCACACCACGAAGGCATGCCAAGAAGGCATGCCAAGAAGGCGGGAGAAATACCGGTACTATTTCGTTTCGAGGACCGTAAAAAAATTGCAGTGAAAATGTATGCGCAAAAGCGCCAAAACTAGCAAACGTACCCAGGCCATTTAACAGCGCGCCAAATCTAGCGTAAGAGCTGATTTCAGATTGCGTAAGTTTAGATAGTTCTATATATCTTAAGACGTCATTGAAATACGCCATTTATTTTAATTTTTAAATCCCTTTTTGATATCCTATGCATTTAATAATTTGGGAATAGTCCATGACGAAAAGTCTGTAATAGAATTTTTTCAAAGAAAAGGCATATTCATTATAGAAATTACGTTGAAAAACAACGGATGAAATATGCTTAGCGTAATCGGTAGCGAAATAGCGATGCGGAATCCATTCAGTAAAGTTAGCCTTTTTACTTCCTTGTACGAAGTAAAAAGGAAGTATTGTAATCGCGAAAAGTTTCAGGCAAGCATATTTTCAACGAAAATATTCCATTTTGACCGCTATCGAATGCAATTTAACGATGTTTTTGCGTGATATCTGTACGTAAGGACAGAATAAAATACTCTTTTCCTTAAAAAAAATTATAAAACTGCTTTAAAATGAATTCTGAAAGGAATTTTTCGTGGCGTCTGTACGAACGTATGTACGTACGTACGTATCTCGCATAACTCAAAAACGAGTAGCCTCAGAACGTTGAAATTTTGTATATAGGACTGCTATAACATGTAGATGTGCACCTCGTATTTTGGTTGCAATCGGCCGCACCAAACGTATATAAATATATTTATATATATATCCACTCTGTTACCCGGCTCAGTGATCTCAGTTTCTTTACTCTTATATGTTGTTAAATTGTACATTTTTTTGCTTTAAAAATGATTGAATTATGTTGTTTTTATCTTCCGGTTAAGGATTTTATGCCTTTAGTAAATCTGTGTGCAATATTTTTAGAATTATCAGCAATTTTAAAGTTGTTTAAAGCCTTTTTTAATGGCGGCCATTGATGTTTACATTTGAAACAGGAGACTAGTGGATTTGTTGCCAATCTAGAGAAACTTAGCTTCGCAACAACAAAGATAACGCCTTCATTTATTATTTAAATCATGCTTAATCATTTTTTCGAGGAAATAAGCGTTTAAGATTTACTTCGTAATTTTTAATATAGATATTTTGAGTTTTTTTATGTATTTTTGCCTTCTCGAAAAGTGAGAACTGAATTAATTGAATGAGAAATACTCAATCGTCTGTGAAAAACTGTTTCTTTTTTGTTTTGCTTGCTTAATTTCTTTTATACATCATTCTAGCTTTATTATAGTATTTGAATAGAACACGTGGTAACGATTAGATAATTCTATTCTTTAAATGATATAAATTTTGTGCATTATGAGTTATAATATGAACGAAATATATAAGTTAACTGTTATATAATTATTGGATTATATAACAGTTAACTTAGCTTCCGTTATAAAATTATTATATAAGTTAACTGTTATATAATTATTAATACTGTTAAGTGAATCTAGCGCCAGAGTGTCGCTATGGTAATCAAATACTAGAGTGAATTTTAAAGAATGCATTTATTCTATTGTGGTTTATGCGCTGTCGGCGAAGTAGATTTAATTCAGTCCAATAAGTTTAAATGAAATGCAAGAAAAAATGCGTATAATTTAATACTCCAATTTAATATTCCAATACAAGGAAGTCATGTGGTGTACACATAAGATTTTTTATATAAATTATAATAATGATCTGAAATAATTATTTACTCTTCCATTCAGTCATATTTAGCTTTTTTTATATAAATTATAATAAAAAAGTATTATATGAAATTAACATTTCATCTAAATTAAAACATCAATCTTAAATAGTTATTTACTATTATACTTGCTTTCTTGCGTTAGGGTTGCCACAATTATTTTTGGCCTGGCATCAACAATAGTTTGGCGATTTTTTACGGTCCTCAAAACGGAATAGTACCGAAATACCTTATATACTCCCTCTTTTAAAGGGCGACTGAGGTTTTAGGGGACCCAATCGCCAAATCCTGGGTGCGGAGAATCATCCCACAACATTCGTTTTAATCGGGGGCCACTGTAGAGTCATTAGGTTATTTTGGAAGCCAAAGAGATGAAAAATGAGCAAACGCCTTCGCCGGGAATCGAACCACGGACCTCTGAATTATTCGCTGAGCATGCAGAACACCACACCACGAAGTCATGCCAAGAAGGCGGGAGAAATACCTTGTAAGTTAACCACAAAAATTTCGCCTAACGGTTCATCTCTACTTAACTATTAATTATTATACTTATTATACGTAATACTGAAAAGAAATACAAAGCTTTTTATTTCCTATGATTCAAGAGCAAACTAAACCGCGCTATATCTTGTCAATAGCTGTGTTCTTACTGGTATGCTAATGTTAAAATGTGATGACTTATACCTGCAACAAACATACTTTAGATCTGCATAAGAACTACCTAATTGCGGAATACATACACATACGGAATTCCAGCAAACATTTATTATTTTGGCGTTCATACACTGCCAGCTGCTTTCAAAGCAGGATGGCAGTGCTTTTGAACAAAATTCCACTCAACTCCCGGTAAAGATTATAGGCTAGTATAAAATTACTTTTTTGTTTTAAAATGTTATACTGTAATGAGACATTGTAGGGCCTGTATATAAGATTCCCTGGTCTAAGCGAATATCGTAATGACATAAGGCGCTGAGAAAAGAAGTTATTAACGCAAAGCTAACTTTTAGAAAAATTTATGTTATGAATGTTGCATTGTAAATCTGATTTAGTTATATGTTGGACTGCAGAAATTATGGCACTGATTTTTTAAAAATATTTATTGCAGAATTCAACGAAACTCAATCCTCTCGACACTGTACATATTATTGGTCATGGACTTGGTGCCCATGCAGCGGGATACGCAGGCAAATGGCTTCAAAAGAAAGCAAAAACTTTGGTTTCTCGAATCACAGGTCATTCATCGTTATTTGTTTTCTTAGAATAAAATGATGTTACCTGAACTATTATTAATGAGCTAACTGCAAAATATCTCATTCTTCTATATCACACAAAAAATTAAATTTATCAGCTTAACAAACAAGCTATTTTCTATAATAGCTTAATGCCATACTAAAGCACGAAAAGTTTATTAATAGAATATTTATTTCTGAAACGCAGTATTTGAATATGGATTTGACCGATACAAGTAGATAAATTAAGAAACAATTTGAAGTTTAATTATTTTATAAACATATATAACCGTTCTTACAATTTAAATAAAATATGTGTTGATTAACTTTGGAAAACGGAACTTTCTTCTGAATGTTTATCTTGTGCGCTGGATATATGTAAGCTACACTTTTATATATGCTTTTAGAATAAAATCACTGCAAAGAATTCGATTTGGAGCTGAATAACCAATAGCTGAATTTAAAAAAGTAACAATAACGCAAAAGCAATAATGAAAGGATGCAAACACACCGTTCAAGAGAGCAGTAAGATCAAATACATGAATTTTTATCACGCATATCTTGCATAAATTATAATGTAAAGTTAGAAGCAATATATATAGTTTTTAATGTCTTAAATAGTAACAAACTACCGGAACTAGAAAACGATTATTATTTATTGATTAATTTTCAATTTTCAAAGAATGATTTGATTGAAAACGTATAATTGAGAACAAAAAGCAACAAAAAGTTTAAATAAAAGGGTTTTTATAAAACACATTTTAATTTAGAATTGACGAAATACTGACTGAATTAAAGAGAAAAAAATGTAACAGAAATAAGTTATGAAATAATTCTCCATGAAAAAATTCATTTACAATTTTATATCACAAAATATAAAACCTTGGGTACTTACGTACTAATCGAATTGGCATGTCAAAAGTACTAGCTGTTACATGCATAAAGCAGGTGCAAATTTCATCAATTTTTCTATTTTTCTAAACTAATCTTTTTATATAAGAATTTAAACCCAAATGAAACGGAATCTTTTATTGAACTTAATTTCATCTGTTTCCGATATGCGTTTTTGACGTGAATACTTAAGCTTTGTTTGAAGCATTTCATAGTAAGTACTCTCAACTAAATTCAGTTATTCAGGAATGTTTATAAATCAATCCCCATATGCAGATAATCTAGTCTTTTAATGGTTCAGTCTTGGTGAACTAACTATGGAAACGTTTTGAATACATCAAATCAGTTTTTAAACGGAATTGTAAAAAGTAATTATTTCTGTAGTATTATTAAAGGGGCCTCATGCGTTTATTATTCGTGATATAGAATTGTAGTTGTAGAGAAATATTTTATCTGCTGTTTCCATTAAAATATATGATAAATTACTTTCCACTTTTTTGATTCTAATTTATTTTAACCATTTTAAAAAAATCGCATTTTTTAAAAGCCTTTTTTTATTATTATTTTTAAAAGTGTACACTTAATTTCATGCGGACATTTCCTCACTCGTACAAAAGTACTCACTCGCACTGGCAAGCTGGAAAATTCTTAAATAAATACGCAAAAGTGTTCTTGAAGTATCTTTACTTTTCAATTATTTAAATAATTCAAATTTCTATTTCGTAATTAACCATTTATTTACGTTATAGATTTCTGTATTCGTTACAGATACGGACGTTCATTCGTATAAAGTGAAAGGGCAAATTGATTAGCATAATTTACAAAATAACATATCATGAAATCTAAGTCTCTACATGAAAACGTGATATTAAAGTGAAATTGCTGGTAAGAGTACCAGTATAAAACGATAATATTAATATAAAACTGCTAGTATTCGTAATCTAACTAAAAAAGTAAGTATAAAAAGCCAGTAGTGTAAATGCAGAGGGATATATTATTAATAACATAATTTTGATTCTGAGAAAACCAGATGAAATAAATTTATTCCCGTTATTTACAAAAGAACTGTTGATATGCTCATGAAAATTTAGCTCTTTGATATTGTTCTGTGGAGGACACAGCTTATAATTCGCAAATAAATTGGAATAAAATACAGAGAAAAGTTTAAAAATATGTGCCTACAATTTTCACATCGAAACAATCTTGACCAAAGGCATATTCTGTTATTTTTATTAATAGGTAGAATATATTTTTCTTCTAAAACAATTATTAGTTTTACTAATATTTTACAAAATAATTACCAATTCATTTGATTACTATTAACAATCAACAATTAACTTTAAACGCTGGTAAGGATTAGATATTTTTAAATATTCAGTTAGTGAATTTTAATTACTAAAATTTAATTAATGAGAATTGTACTCAAGTTGCCTAATAACAAAATGCGACATTAAATCAATAAACATGTAGAAATGAAACCTCAAGTGGGATGTGGAAGAGATCGAAATTTTATAAATCCTGATTGATCTGCGTAAACGTTTCTGGCAAAATATTTTGATTTGATCTCCGCACATAATTGATTTGATATTCTTAAAGTAAAATCGTAGTTTAAGTGTTTTAAATGAAGTCTGTGAGCATAATCACATAATTTTCCCTTGATAGTCCCTTGTTCTGGATATTGTATGATGTTGAAACTTGTTATGATTTCAATAAAAAGAAAGTTGATAAACAGAAGCAGCGTTATTATATAAACGGAATAAAGTCTCTTTATGTAAAGTTTGCAGATTTCCTGCATAATTTTGTAATATTCTGTATAATTTTACTTTATGCATATCGTTTTATTTATCGTGAAGTTCTAACTGTTAAATTTTGGTAGTTAACGTAAAATATCAAGACGAATTGAATTATTTTTTTCGCAGAATATTAATTTTTAATAGAAAGGATATATCTCTAAATCCTAAATTCTTTCTCTCTGAAATAAGAAAGGATATCTATTATCTCTAAATAATTATTCAAGCGATTGCAAAGTCATATTGCAATTCATGTAATTATCAAATAAACAATTTGCCAGAATTTGGACTTTCATTTGTTACCCATTAAAGAGTTTATAATACCTATAAATTAACAAATTTGAAATTCTCTACCACATAATTTCATAAAATTATTATGGTAAAATGAAGGACTCTATATACTTCAATAAAAGACTTTATACTAACTCTCATAAAGTAGTGGAATGGAAAGAAACTAGCATAAGATATCTAGAAATGCGTAAAGTCTTTATTTAAAATTAGCGCGAATCTAAGACTGAATTTGGCCCTACTGATGTTTACTGACACATTATTCTACTAATGTGTTATGAGGGAAAATGATTATATAGCACATTTAACCTCAGAATAGTCAGAAACATCTTAGAAATTATTCTAAAAATAGTTTTCAAGTGAAACGTATTTATATTATTCTTTGGAAAACTGCAGAAGTTAACATTCTTTACTTTAAAATATCTTTCAGAAAGTATACTTAATAAATAATCATAATTTTTTTACGAGCAAATATATTCTGGATTTATTTAAAATTATTTCTTATTTAAAATTACTATTTTGTAACAATAATAAAGTGCTTGACTTTATAATATAGTAAACCTGCAGGATTTATTCTGCGTTTACAGCCTACTCGGTTCAAAATATTCGTTGATAATTGTGAAAAAATGCTGGAAAGACATTATAAAATGCTCTATGGATGTTTATAAATATTATCCTACACTGCTTTATACTAAAACTATTCCCTTCAGTTTATAATATTTTAAAACGCACTTCGAATTAAAATAAAATATTAAGGATCTACTTAACAAAAATTTTATGGTGTAAAGCATACCTATTTCCTTTGGCAAATGCCTGGTTAGATCCGCTAAATTGTTTTTATATTTTTTGTAATTATTTTTCATCAACTAATTTGTGACAAATACAGTACGTGCATTGCCTTTAAAGGTCTGGATCCTTCAGGCCCCTTTTTCAAAGGTGTCGAACCAGCTGTAAGGTTAGACAAAGATGATGCCACTTTCGTCGATGTCATCCATACCAACAAGCCGAGGAATTCCATAACAGGTAAAATTTAATTTCCTAAACTTTTCTCCTGCAGCTTCGCAAAGCTCTCAGGAGTATGCTATAGTTATACCTACAGTTACATAAAAAATCTCAATTTAAATGTTTTTAACATATATTTATTTTCTTCGAAGTATATTGTGAGATCATGTGACGCTTTGAAATGCTTTGAAACGTTTGACAATTAATTTCCTGCTATTATATGAAGTAATTTTACGTAATGGGGAAGTGTGTGTTTATTAATTTCTTGCTTTGCTGCGATTTCCATTGTCTTTACTATGAGTTCCCTCATATCTGCTTAGTATTTACTAAAATTACCAATTTCTCTCTCTCTGTATATATATATATGTATATATATATTTGATATAAATGTTTAAATATATCAAATATATATATACTATATATACAGAGATAATAATTATATATATTTGATAATAAATGTTTAAATGCTTCTTTTCATATTTGATTTCATTGGTGATGGCATTGGTGGTGACTTGCAGATAATTTGAATTATTGAAATCGGCAGGAATACTTTTTTTATTCAATATGCTTTTTAACAAAAACATTAATATTTAAGGCTTTATATTTATTATGTCACTACGGAATTTGTATTGCAAATGTGAAAAATGCATCAGATATGTGAACATTTCATAATTTGATTACTTTAGAAATTCTGTGGCATTTTACAGATCGAAAATTTGAAAATCCTAAAATTACAATGTACAGGCATTTCTGTACCTATAGTGTTTTCCAAAAGTTAAACAACGAATTTAAAAAATCACCGCTAAATTGGCTAAAAGTAGTTCAAAATTCTTGAAGTATGCTCCAAAAAACCAAGCTGCATCGAATATGGCTTTGAGATCGCTTTAGATAAGTATAATACAGCCTAAAACCAGCTGTTTAGAAGTGAA